CAATTTCGTTAAAAATGAATTTTTCTCTATGAGACTGTGTATTGTAATAATGAAATGGCGATCTTTTTTAAAGGTGAAAACCTCATTAATTTTATGTCTTATAGGGTTTTTACTGAGTACAACATTGTATAACTGTAATACTTCAACTGTAAACCTAAAAATGTACAGCTAATTTTGATAGGAATGCATCCTAGCTCAGAAAATTGTTATTGACTATGTCAATGCTGATGTAATTAAATGCTTCTAAGTATGTGGTTATTAAATAAATAATTTTTTAAAAATTAAAAAATAAAAAAACCCGTGACTGTTCTAACCAGGAAGACTGCAAGAAGTTCCTTTGCTATACACCACCTGTTCTATCAGAATTTTGACTTATGCCAGGTGAGATTGTCCATGTTATTAATAGAGTAACTGACATTTATGAGAAAAGAAGACTTCTCCAGGGAATGTGCATAAAGCAGAATCCAATCTAGCTAAGCAGGTGCCATTTAGAATGATTGTCTCGGGTTTGCATTTCAGTAAATATGCAGCCCCTTTCACTGACCTCCTCCCACTTAATAAAACTCAGTTCTATTTCGTGGTGAGGGGGCATCCCTTAAAAAGTAAGTTTTTGGAGGACGTATGGAGAGGGGAGGGAATCTAAATGCCATCAAACTATATCGTATGAAAATCACAAAAATTCAATAAAAAGTTTTAAAAAATTATCAGTCACATATAGTTAAAATGTTGTGTGCAGTTAATCTTTTTCCTTTTGTTGTATAATTCCAAAGCATTAATTTGCAATTTTATTTCTTGCTTGTTTTTCTTTGCTGCAATGCCTGGAATTCACCTGCTAACATTTTAACCAGTGATTAGTCATGACAATGAAAATAAAACAAAATAAAAATGAAAATTAAAAATTTTTTAAATGCATTTAAAGACTCTAGAAAGAGGCTGGATTTGGGTCTGTGTTCTCAGTGTTGTGGGAAACAGAACAAGGGAAGCTGAAATCTTTGTCAGGATTAAGGAAGTCGGGGGGCTTCTGAAAGAGGTGTGTGGTCTGAAGCAATGTTGATTCAAAGAGTACTGGAATTCAAGAAACAGCAAGATGGTGCTACTCTGAGCAGGCTCATCTGGAGACATCCTAATTATAGCAGAGGACTATGAGGGGAGATGAGGATTAGGTTGAGGTGGAGCTCTGATCTCTCTCCAAATCATCACAACTCACCCATTGAGAATGGCAGAAAAGATTCTCTCCTCTTAAACTGTCCATTTTCCAAAAAGTGCTCTGGATTGAAGGTCTCTGGTGTGGCCCATTCTTCGGGGTCGCTGTGCAGTGCAGTCAGATTGGTCAGGATCATGGTCCCCTAGAGAATGAAGTAAAGAGTAAAGGCTTAATGTGTGGAACACACTGACACAGCAGGGTGGTGGTTCTCAAGCTCTGATGCATGAGACTCTCGCCTTTCCCACATCATTTAACCCACTGTCTTATGAACTATTCCACCTACACCTTCTCTTTTATGAATGGCAACGTACATGAATGGACTGGAATTGCCTCCTAGGATTGTACTATGTGAGGCAGATTATTTATTGCAGAATACATCTACTCTACACGAAGAGGTCAGTGTAGGGCTGTCAGCATCCATGAGAGAAAATGAGCACCCTGCTCACTGCTGTTAGAATGAGGGCAGGTGTGCAAAGTGAAAGAACGTCTCCATCACCTTGTTTCTCCATTCTCTTCCATACAGTGTCAAAGAGATGGCACCAGCAGAGTCAGCCAAAGATTCGGGGATGCATCAAGACACCCCATCTAGGCAGGTACGTGGCATGAGCCCCAGTCACTAGAGTCAGCCCTTTCATCATTCTGCTCATCCATCAGCAACACTGATCCACTCTTAACTCTTTCCTGAGTCCATCACCTCCACTCCAGTTTCTCACTGCCATCTTAGTGCAGGCTGCCCCCTTGTTCTCCTAGACTCCTAGACTCATACAGCATCAAGGACTGCTCCACAGCCTGAAAGTCAAATAAGCTTTCCACATGACTTAGTTACATTACCCCCTCACTTTCCGAATTTGCTTCTCAGACTTTCCATACTCTTAGGGTAAAAATTCATCCTGTGTTCCAACAGACAGCATCTCCCCTCTGCCTGAGCTCCCACTACAGCGGACTTCCTCTAGGTACTCAACCATACCATGTCCCATTTGCTTGGTCTCCTTGGAAACATTTCCTTGTATGTTCTTACCTATCTAATACTTAACTACCCTTAACTACCCTGTACTCCTCAGCTCCAACCTCCCTTTTTTCAGAAGCACCCACTGGTTCACTTAGCCTCTTTTCCTCAGTCCATCTTGTCAGCCTCTGGATAGAACATTTCCTCTCAGCAGTCTTCTGGTTTATAGGTACGGACTCCCATGACTCAGGACTCTCATGTCTAGATCCAAGGTTTTCAGGTCCTTGATGAATATTAGCTTGATTCATAAATAACTTCTCTTCTGGGTATAAGGCTCTGCACATGTAATCTCATTTTATTTCAAGTGGGTTTAAAACATTTTATAGAAGAAGAAACTGCAGCTCTGAACAGGTGGGTAATATGCTTACAGTAGAAGGAGGTGGCATCATCCTTGGAACTAGGCCTATCTGCTATAGGCATTTGTATTTCTCAGTACCCAGGTGGCTATTAGAGGTGATGTTAAAACCCTGTGGGAGGTGTTGGGCTGCTTGGCTGGAGTTCAATGAACAAACAAAAAAGTAAACAATACCCATTCAGACCTCAGCTTCCTCAGTGAGCAGGAACAGAAGGCAGGGGCTGCTTTCCTGGCTCTGCAGTGAAGGTCACTGTGCAGTGAGTGGTGGGTAAGCACTTCTGGAGCTACTGCTGGAGATCGTCCACAGAAACAGAAGGCAGGGGCTGCTTTCCTGGCTCTGCAGTGAAGGTCACTGTGTAGTGAGTGGTGGGTAAGCACTTCTGGAGCTACTGCTGGAGATCGTCCACAGCACATGATGTGCAAGTGTGTTAGATAAACTAGATCCTCAGAGGCCGACCAGGCAGCAGAAAGCCAGGAAGGAACTGTAATTGTATGTTGTGGAGAGGGGATACTAGAGGCCAGAAGAGCTCTCTGCAGAGATCTTAAGAATAGTAAGTGGTGATCAGAATTCAGTCTGTGAAGACAAGGAATTTCACAAGGAGGCATGGAGGAAAATGGGCTGGAGATCCTTTTAATATCAAGGTAAAGCAACTTCTATGGGGAAATCATAGGGTAATACAAACTATCAGAACAGGTTCAGTTCCAGAGCCCAACTCCTGTTACTTTGTAGAAGAGAGATATTATACAATTTTAATTTCTCTGAGCCTCAACTTTACAATTCATTAAATGGGATTTGATAGTTATTTAAAGGAGTAAGGCATTTTTAAAGAGCTACAAATCTACAACACACAGTGATTGCTTAGTAACTATTGCTTCTTTCTCTTCTTTCCTAGTAATTAGTACTGCATGATAGACTGCCCTTTTGGGGACAGAAAGCTCCCAATCATGGCGCATAAGCAAAAGTGGAAAATATACCTGTGGGGTCACTGCACTAGAAACACCAGCCTCGCTCTGATGTTAGTCCAATGTCATTAACTTCAAATGCCTTTCACATTTAAAATCCTGTATCTCCTATGAATATTTGAAAATTGCCCTGTTCTGACATTTTTCTAGTTCCTTGTCTAGAACTTGTGATGCTAATTACTCTTGCCTTTACTTCTCCTTCACATCTCCTACTCACAATTCAAGGACTTTCTTTTCCCCTTAGAGACAAGAGTTATGCAATTTGGGAGTCTTTTAGATAGACCCACTGAAGGGGTACTCCAATTGCCTCACCCTGTGTCCCTGTTCAGCATGGAAGAAGCCAGAGAGGTCTGGGTAACTCCTTCAGTGGATGGCATGATAAGAATAGGAGGTAGCAATTGGCTAGGCAGTTAGGGTAAAAAGACCCCAAAGAAATGCAGCCAGTTTCTTGGCTAAAAGTCAAAATGTCAGCCAGGCATGGTGGTACATGCCTTTAATATCAGCACTTGGGAGGCAGAGACAGGCAGATCTTTGTGAGTTCAAGGCCAGCCTGGTCTACATAGTGAGTTCCAGGACAGCTCGGGCTACAGGAAGACCCTGTCTCAAAAAGACCCGCCCCCCAAAAAAAGTCAAAATGTCCTTGGGCCTGTTAGCAACATACTTTGTTCCAAAGGCCAACAATGTCAAAAGTATTTGGGAGCTTCCATCTAATCCTTAAAATATTTTAGGGTTATCTCTTCAGAGGGGGAAATGTTGGAGGGGAGGGAGTAGGCATGGATTTGGTCAAAACGCTTTATATACATGTATGAAATTCTCAATAAAGTTTTTGTAAAAAAAATTTTTTTTAATCCTGTATCTTGAATATTGTGATGAATTTCCCAAACTAAGCCTGGCATGTCCTTATTCCTGAGAGCTGCTCTGGTGAGCAACATCTAACAGAGAACTGATGCTTACTGTTTGCCCACAGTAGCACTGCACGATGCTGAGATACCCCTTGGCAAACAATGCCAGGCTTTTCCTAAACGAATTTGACCAAGGAATCTTCCAGAATGTATTCTTTAAAATAGTGGATGTAAATATCCACTTAGACACATGGAGAGTCTTATCAGGCATTTCCTCTCCTATTGAAGCGATTTTTTTTTTTTTTTTGGA